AAACAGAGGAAGAACGAGCTCGGGATCCTCGGCCCGGTTATCAAGGCGCAAATCAGAGACGTTATCAAGGTGAGGAGGACATATACAATAAACATACAATTAAGAGTAAAAGCATATACTGTAATTTTCGGACTATAAGGCGCACCTGAATATAAGCCGCAGCAGCTAAATTGAATGATGTGTACATATATAAGCCGCACTGGACTATAAGCCGCAGGTGTTTTAATGTTTAATTACCATATGTAAGGGTTCGTGCACAGAGGGGATTGTCGGGAAAGAGATGGCTGTTTGAGGAAGCTCCCATTTATTAACATTTCAACAAACAAGTTGCATATTTGCATAACGTATTCAAGTGTTACCATTTAGTGCAATAGTAGCTACAGAACATGTACTGCTGTGTAAACTGTACTGTATCACATAGCGTTTCAGACACACAAACTTTTCAACTTTCAAACTTAAACGGTGCGCTCCCAGCGTACGTACCGGCAGTGATATACAGCAGTGGTTTTCAACCAGTGGTACGGGGACAAACTGTCTCGCTCTCGTAATGTCTGTCTGTCTTGCTCTCGTTCTGTCTCTCGTACCACTCTCGGTTCCACTTTTACTTTTGCGCGCTACCTGTCTCACTCTTTTCCGGCCTCCAGCTTTTCCTGCTGGAGCACGCCGCTTAAAGGTGGGGGGCGCGGAGCGGCCATAGAGCCCATAGAGTTAAAGGTGGTGGACTGTAACCTGTAAAAATCCATAGATTAGCCGCACCGTTATATAAGCCGCAGCGTTGAAAAATGGGAAAAAAGGCGCGGCTTATAGTCCGAAAATTACGGTAATCACCTTGTTGTTAAGGGTAACGTCATTCTTATATTTCACCAGAAATGCATTGCACCCATGTGCTGGTTCCTGGGATATTATGTTGATCTAACTAACTGATCCTGCAAGAGATTCATGTAGAAAGATACAAAATAATAATATGATGTATTTTCTAACCTTTCTTAGATCCAAATGTTCAGCCGAAGTTCTACTGCGTCCTGTCCCCTGAGGCGTCTGAAGATGACATCAGCAGACTGGACAGCAAGGTGAGACTGTGACCACTAAAGGATGAAGAATATAAATATAGATATTTAATTGTATTAAACATCATATTTTTCCCCCTGCTAGGTCTTTCCAAAGCTGTTCAATGGAGCAGTTAAATATGATGAACTGTATGCGGGGCTCATCTCCCTCCTGGTCGCAGGCTCTCAGTTTGACACAGCAAGAAGACAGGAGAGCAAGCCAATCACTCCTATGGTGAGAACTCATCCCATAAACTATTAACTGTGTAAAGAAGTTGAAGATGCTGGTGGCATTTTAATTGCCATTATATCTATTAGTCACCTTCAATATTTGAAATTAGGAAAGTGCAGTTGGTTACCTTTTTATGACTAAATCTTAAAATGCTTACAAACTGGCCAGTTTTTTAAACGACTGTTTAACATCTGTCTAGATTACCGTAAACAGTTTTCTGAACGTAGCACAAATGTTGTTTTTTGAAATGTTAAATCCAACGCATATAGATTGAAACGGAAAACGTTGTTAAATAAACATTTGAATTAATTAAGCCCACTATGATGTTACATTTCAATCAATAGTAACTCAATAGCCACGTTTCAGCCCTGACATTAACTGAGTGGGGTTTGGAAAACAGGGCATGTTTATCTATCGCCCTGCACAGGAGGCATGCTCCCTTCAGTACTACTTCCTCATCCTGTGGAGGATCCTGGGAGTTTTACCACCGTCCAAGGCCTACGTGGAGCAGCTGAAGACGGGCTGCAGTGATCCCAGTGAGAGCGACATCCTGCACACCCTGCGATGGTCCTCACGTCTCCGGGTGCCAACATACGTGAACTGGATCAAGGTCTGTCTACAATGTCTTACAGAATGCTAATTAGCACGATAGATGCCAAAAAATGAATTGATCAAATATATTACATTTGACTTTGAATTCATGGCCAATGTTACGGTATTTTTGATAATTCCACTCAGCATCACTCGACAAATGTGTCTAAATTGGATGCTTCAGATAGCATTTATGAATGTATACATTTTTGATTGAAAATACTTTACTGCGTCCTTTTTATTGTAATGAAAAATCGACCTTAATGTTTCACGTGTTGTTTAACTCTGCGTATGTGATCACTGACAGGAACACCTGGTGAAGCAGGGGATGAAAGAAGACCAAGCAGCCACTCTGGTTGACGCGACGGCTGCTAAGTGCAGCACCGTTAAATACGATGTGGAGCTAGCAGAGGAGTACATTGCCAGACAGGTATTGATTACAACATAGTCTTTGTTGACCTCTGTATCGATTATTATCCAAACTAAGTTCTGATCACAAGTGTCACTCTTTTGACGACTTGATTCTGTTGCAGATTTCCACCTTCTCAAGTGTAGACCCGAACGCAATCCTTCCGCTTGATCAGCTTCCCTCTCTACAAGCCATCTACACGCTGGATGCAGTCATCTCTAAAGTGCAGGTTTCCTTAGACGAGCATATGTCCAAGGTGGCCATTGAAGCAGACGCCCACAAGTCATCTGAGATCACAAAGAACCTACTGCCTGCAACACTGCAGCTCACTGACGTCTACACGGCCTTCACACGGTGAGAAAGGAATCAGTCTAACTTCTGCTCTTTTGTTAACACTAAGCATCACACACACGTTTGTCTACGTCATGAATTAGATCTAGCAATCTGAAATAATACAAGGAGATGATTGAAATAACCGCAGGACAGATTTGTGTATGCTTTATCTTTTGGATAATGAAGATTTTGGATATTTTTGTATGTTATATAAATTATATTTTATACATGACTTTTTGGGCTTTAAAGTAACTACACACATGTTTTACAGAAACTACAAAGGACATGTTTGTTTACTTGTTATGATCACATAATTTGCTTGCAAAGATAGCTGTGGTCTCATACCGGCACCCTGCCAAACAGTCATTTTTAAAGCGTCGAATTCAAAAAGCATATAAGGGTGTGTTGAGATGTTTTTTATTCACTTGTTAGAGTTTTTGTCCTTAATCCTGCTTCATACAAAAATAAGGCTTAAACCGTAAATCTTTGATCTGTTTATCTGATACGATAAATAAATAAACCTTGTTCTGACCAGGTCCTACCTGCTGATGAACATCCCAGAGGAAGGGGAGAACAAGCTTACTGAGGCCAAGCTCAGAGGTTATGCTGCAGTTTTGTCTATCGGCTCCACCCGCTGCAAGGCCAACCTGTTAGGTATGTGAAAGAATAGAAAAGAATACAGCATTCACCATCACAACTTTTCTGTTCACTCATTGTTTTAACCGGAACTTTTTTAATGAAACTTTACAGGTCAAAGTATTATGCAGAACTTGCCATCGGCTGTTCAGACAATATGTGAGACTTGGAACGGCATCAACACCAATGAATTCCCAAACATTGGCTCATGGGTACGTCCTTTCAGTTGTTGCCTATTGTTCAGTTTGACTTTGTCCGTCTTTGTAAACACTTGATAAATGTAGCAGGCAATCTAATCACTGTTTAGGGTGGTTTTGCCTTTATTATACCAGTTTGCTGGTATAATAAAGGATTGACTGTTAAGTCTGCCTTGAAGAACAATGTGTTCAATTATTAGAGGCAGCCAATTAAAAATATTATCTAAAATATTTACCTTAAAGCAGGGGTGTCAAACTCAAGGCTCGGGGGCCAAATCCGGCCCGTGACTTCATTTTCTGTGGCCCCACAAGCAGGGCTCTCGACTAACTTTTTTCACCATTCTCCCGGAACCGTCCCGAAATACAATCTAAGCCGTCCCGAAATTAATGTGGACCGGAGAATGGTGAAAAAAGTTAGTCGAGAGCCCTGCTTGTGGGGCCACAGANAAAAAATGTTTAGGGAGAAATTACCCCTTAAATTGGGACTGATACCGTCATATACCGTATACCACGGTATGATGTCAGCAAGGTATGACGGTATGAAAAAAATCATACCGCCCATGCCTAGTGTGTGTATATTCCCTAGATCAGTTAGCAGACTTTATGTATAATAATAATAATATGGCTTTTCTATTTTGTTGCCCGTTACAACATGGCCCTATTTCAACAGGATAGACATGAAGGGAGACATAAAGGGATAAGATCATACAGAGTCCTCTGCCTGGGAATCATCCTCTTCTACTGCAAGTTCCTCCACCCAGTCCGAGTCCACCTCCATGGCCTTCTCTTCTCCCTCCATCAGCATTGCTGAGGTGCCTTGGCCACTGCTTTGCCGCAAGGCGTTCATCACATCAGCCAGGTAAGAGATGATGTGGCACGAGCATTCCAGCATGCTGGCGTGCTGGAATCAAGGAACAGGTACACATCAGTTTCTGGACAGTAAATGGTTAAAGGCTAATAACCCTCTTTGGAAACATGTTAGGCCTGATTTTAAAATAAGTCTTTTTTTTTTTTTTAAATGAGTAAAAAAAAAAGTGACTTGTATAGACTTGTGAATTATACTGAGAAACATTCAAACTTACCTTTCCTTGGGATAAGTTCGTGCTCACTTTTTCCACAACGTTCTTCTGTGTTAAATACTTTTTGCTGAAAAAGAAGAAAATGTTGATTCATTTTAAAATCAGTAAAGTTAAGATTTGATCACTGCTTGATAATGGCTAAGTTATTAGGACAGTCAATGCTAAGTACTTTTTCATATCATGGTTATAAATATGAGAAACCTCGCACTGATGTTGAAACAATTGGGCAGTTCCCTGATGTTAAAGAAAGGAGAAAAACAGCATGTTTGTGAGACTTGATCCTTACCATCTGGTCAGCCAGTCGATAGCGGCCCTGTGCAGCTGCAGATGACCGGCCCCCTGTCCCGCGCTGGCGAGGGTTGCCATGATGACCATGAGCTCAGGGAAGCCTGTTCCATCACCATTAGCGAGCATGTCTGTTGCCATGGGAATGAGTGTGCTGAGGAGGACAGTGCACACTCCTTCGCCCACCTGGCTGTTGTCACGCACAATATGAGTGGTGAGCACCTGCAGGAGCTGTCTGTTTTCTTGCACTATTTCCATCTGCTCCGAGTCCTTTGGGGGGGTCGCAGTCATGCGCGTCAGCCAGGAATGCAGCCGAGGGGGCTCCACGCAGGCCAGCTGGGCCAGAGAGCCACACAGAGTCAACAGGCTGGGGTTTGGGCTCTTCTCCGCTGGGAACGAACAGAAACATGATATTTAGGATGATTGAAAGATCGGCTGTATCTGCAACTTGTAAGAATTATGATTTGATTTTTGGCAAGGCGTCAGTATGCTTCAAAACCACATTGTTTGTTGGATAATCAAAAGGTATCTGAAACCCTCTCACTGACAACTTAACCGTTTGTTACTTTTTACAACGAACAATTATGGCCAAGCTAAAAACTTTACACAACTATTTGCCTGGTGAAAAGAGGGGACGACACATTTTTGATATAATCCTCTCAATGAAGGCAGGCTTTTCACTCTGCCTTCAAATGGCATGTTTCATTGAAACCACGCCATTTGAAGCACACATTGACCTTGTGATAGTTTTTCTTGATTTAAATAAATGTTGCTAAAAGTAGACTTACTGAGCTGGAAAAGCTTGGTGAAGAATTTGAGCACCCTGTTGCAGAACTTTGCTGACAGACTCTCGTTGGCGGTCGCCATCATAATCTGGACCAGCTCTCCACTGGCAAAGACAAGGAGCACAAGGTAAGAGAGGTAACAGGGTAAATGTGTAATAATTCAGCCCGTGTCATCAGTTGAGCAAATACCTGAAGGAAAAGAACTCTTCCATGGCCTTGCGGACTTGAATGCTCTCAAGCTGCTTTTCAAGGTATTGAAGGCATTCCTCAAGGACAGACTCGTCCAAACCACTAAAGAAGATTAAAGAGTTTAAAAGAAGCAGTGAGACTCAAATCAAACAATAAATGTGCATGCAAGTAAACTAAGCCATTATGAATAAAAAGTCTTAAAGAGCTGTGAGTTTAAGCACCTCAAAAAAAGTATATATATACGTCTTGTAGGTTTACTTAATTACCAGATCACACATGGCCTACCTGGTGGGGTCTGAGTGATGGGCGATGATGTTGTAACACCCAGTCACCAAGCGCTCGTAGATTCGGGCGAGGAAGGCGTCGGACTCGGCCGGGCCGAGAATGCGCTCCAGGGAGGTGCTGCTGATCTCAGCCACGCTCTCCGTGCTGCTCTCCAGCAGGAGGGGCAGCAGGGTGCGCACCACCTGGGAGGGATTCAACTCCTCTGTGCTGAGGACACAAACATGCAGCAGTATTAACACAGGATTTAGTGTTCTTTTATGAATATATTTCACCCACCACATACTTTTTGTCATATGTTAAGTGACTCGACTTACACAATGAGGTCGCCAGTGAGGCGGACCAAAGAGAGCAGAATGTGTTTGAGAGAAGAGGCCAGAGGCAAGGACTGACAGCTCAGTGTGCCCAGGTGGGCTGCCTGGATGGCACTGATGTAGCTTTCTGATGGGATGGTATCATTGGCAAATGCATTTCGCTGTGGGAAAAAAAAACACACAAGACTATTATTTTCATAATTGTAAGAACAATATTTTTTTTCAATGAGATACAGAGTAGTGCTGGGTATGTAGATAAAGATACCGTGATATTTTAATACTTTTCTAATTATATAAGATTTATTTTTCTTAATCATTAAATGCTTTAAGGCAGGGGTGTCAAACTCAATTTCATCACGGGCCACATCAGCATTATGGTTTCACTCAAACGGCCGGTTGTAACTTTAAGACTATATAAAAATACATATATACATATTTAATATATATAAAATAATGTATTATATTACATTTTTGCCTCTGCATTGGATTATTATGGGATAGGGTAATAACTTCATAATTAACTACGTCTGAAAGCAGAAGTCTGGGGCAAATAATTGCAAGTCTCTTCAGTGAGCATGTCACAAAATGATTTAAAAAGAAAAGCCAAATTCTGGAGGGAAAAAAAAGTCAAATTCTAAGAAAAAAAAGTCTAATTTGAGATGCATTGTGGGACATGTAGTTTATGGGCAACGTGCTTCTGTAAATCGGCATGTAACCGTATAATAAACATATTATATTCTTTGCAAGCTCTTGTGGGCAGGGCTCGAGCTTAAGGACGTCCCGTCGTCCCGGGGCCGAAAAAAATAGTGTCAGGGAGGATAAAAAATAATTTTGGGACGAATTTGGGACGAGAGTTAAAATAAAAATACCCTGCTAACTCTACTACAAACGGCGATGAAAATGAAATCGA